AATGTGACAGCCAAGCTTTGGGAATAAATTATTATAACACTGAGTCTTTTTCTTTTTTTTTTTTTTTAAATGTTTGAGTAGAGCCAGAGCTATGTTCTGAATTATAGGTTTGGTTCACTTAACCTCATTTTATAATGAGCTGCAGGCAAAGCAGCATTTCTTTGGCAAGAAGTAGAAACAGCACATTAATAGCCTGCTGGTTTTGATTCATCTTGACATATCCTATTTGTGGGGTTTACATATGCAAATTAATCTATTAATAAATTAGTAATGTCAGAACTGAATTTTAAAAACATCATTTGTTAAGAGTCAGAAGGACAAATTATGCTTGCACTTACACCAGCATACATCTGGTATAACATTACTGACTACAATGGAGTTATACCACATTTACACCTATGTAAGTGAAGCAGGATTTGGCTCAATCATCCTAAAATAGGTGTTCTCACCTCCACAGGGCCACAAATATAGGCGGTACAAAGAAAACTTAAACTGGACAGATTTGGACTGAAGAATTCCCCCGGCAGAGAAATTCACAGAGGGAATTTCTGTGAGCTTTAGGCTGATGGACGGTGGGTAGCCAGATGCTCTTACCCCTGGAGTAAGGGGAAGATTATTTGTTGTGGGAGGAGACTCAGTTGGGCTATGTTACCAAAATCTTTGGGCCCAGCTCCATGATGTAACACCTGGGAAACCCAATGGGGTGTAACTGAGGACAGAATTTGACCTATTTAAAAAAATTCTTTTGCTTTTAAAATACACGCTCTTTACCCAACTGTTCTGACCTGATTTTCCTCCCCTTCAGTATTGTTAGCTAATGCAGCTAACTGAGCTGAATAAATCATGCTATGGGGCACAAGTGCATGTGGCAGATACAAGTCCACCAGGAATCACAATGATGAGAAGCTCTGTCTATTAAGCTTGGAAAAAGCATCAGCTTCCTGAATGCACAAAACCAGAGTGCTGTAAATCTCCCCGCCCAGCCCACCCCCATCATAAAGCCAGATTATGGCTGATGCTGGGCAGATGCAGTAGGGGGGAGAAAGCACAGCAGGCCCTCTTCCCCACTCCAGGGTATCTCTGCAGGTTGCAGCTGCAGTTAGGCAGGCTGTACTGATAGAGCCAGTCGGCCCCAGAGAGCGGTGCTTACAATGGCCAGGGCCCCACACTCTTCATGCACGCCAGGACAGCTTCTCTGGAGGATAGCTCAGTGGTTTGAGCATTGGCCTGCTAAACCTAGGGTTGAGAGTTCAATCCTTGATGGGGCCATTTAGAGATCTAGGGAAAAAATTGGGGATTGGTCCTGCTTTGAGCAAGGGGGTTGGACTAGATGACCCTTCCAACCCTGATATTCTATGATAAAGAGATTGTGCTTCTATGAAGTAAGAGCTATAACTTTTTCAGGTGGTCGCACATGCCACTAACCAACATGCTCCTGGGGTGTTTTTGGAGGCACTGGGCCCAATTCACCTTGGCCCTGCACCTCGTGTAGTCATTGCATAGCTGCTAAAATACGTACCCCAGCAGAGGGGGGGGCATTTGCACCCATTTTGCCCTGGGGTAAATGATGCACAAGGGCAATAGTGAATGGAGCCCAGACCGCCTCCAATGCTACTTCAGTGTAGCGCCTCCTCTTTTTCACCAGCATCTCTCAGGCTCTAAAGAGACTCAATTAAACTTCTATGGTGTGGAAAGAACTGCATCCCGAACAGATTGTTTCCCCACTAATTAGTATTTCATGGCTTCCCCCACCTCCACACCACACCACCAATTCCCCTCAGTTACCTGTACGGTCAGAGTGAGAAACCATAGCCAGACAACAAGCTCCCTCAAAAGAAAAAAAGTCTTTAAAATAAAACAGGCCAAACCATTCAGCTAGTAAGCGAATAATCCATAGAACAGTTTCAAAGGGTAATTTTAATGCTATCATACCACTGTGATGTTTAAAGGAGGGTTTTTTGGTTGGCTAGTTTTTGTGTGAGTCCAGAGCTGCAGAGACCAATGGTGACGACATCCAGATTAAAGAGAACAAAATCTATTATCTGTCTCCAGATTTATTCAATAATACTAGTCCAATTTCCAGCTTCCAGGAATAATTATAGTACTGCACATGGTTCACATCCTCCAAGTAATACCTAACCTATATTTAAACTAGGCTGTATTGTTCGTATTGACTCTTTTCCTTTGGTGTCTTTAACAGTACACATTCCCCATCACCAATTGCATCTCATCCTGTATTTAAGCTTCCCTTTGCGAAACACTTCAGCATTAAATGAAAGTCAATCTCCTTGAAGGAAATGCATATCCTGTATCTTTTCTGTCCCGGGATTAATTAAGGTACCCTATCCAAAGTCATGTTCTGATTGGTTAGTTGAGGCTTGGCCCTTTTGATGATGTCACAACTGTGTATTAACTACCAACAGAAGCCTTGATTCACCATTGTGTTACTCATGGAGTACTTCAGAGAGCTGTTTGCTGTCATGGAAATGCTTTTTCCTTCCACAGATGGCATTTCCATAAATTACAATTCCTTGAGTGGAAAAGCAGGAGGGAGGGACACCGAGGTAACTTGCAAAGCCATTGACTGATATATTTCAGATTACTGGCTTCACCTGTCTTTCAGAAATAGTTTTCAGCGAACATCGTGGTGGGGTTTCATTGTGATAAGGAGACTTGCCTGTTGGAAAACAGACCAAGACCACTAGCCGTCACCAGACAGTAATGATATTCAGTTACTAACGTCTGGATTTAAGTCGGCAATCTTTAACAATCCTCTGAGCTATCCAGTCCACCACGACCAGGAGATTTTCATTGTCCCACGTCCAGTTTGCCTGTCATGGGCCAAATCCTGCAGAGCTTCAAACAAAACTCTAATTGACTTGGCCTTATCATAGAATCATAGAATATCAGGGTTGGAAGGGACCTCAGGAGGTCATCTAGTCCAACCCCCTGCTCAAAGCAGGACCAATCCCCAATTTTTGCCCCAGACTTATTTGGTGACTTATTAAAGCAAGACTTGCTTAGCCTTCCCTTTCAGGATATGGCTGTGCCTCAGGTTCCCTGTTGGCTGGCTGTCTCCCTTCTCCATGTCAGGGATAGTTTTAGCCCTCCGTTCCCAAGGTAAGCAAGAGTCCAATGGAAAATGTCCAAACAAAAAGGCTTCACTCGGTTTGCTTTCTGAGCCACAACCCTCCTTCCAGGGACCATGGGAACTTTTCCCCTTCTGAGACAACCAACTGGTTACAGAGGTATCAGCACATTGCTTCTTGAAGGCAGAGCTGAGGCATAAGTGGGCCCATGTTCTCCTTCTGCCAAAGCCTTCAGTCCTGAGCAGGGGCATCATTTGCTATGAGGCAGGGCAGACTCAGTTGCCCCTGCCCAGATTTTTGTTTGGCCTCCAACAGACTTTTCATAGGTCTATATGCTCCACTATTTCTCCCCCGGCCTTTGCAAGATATAATAAATCACAAAGAATATTGTATATGCTGACACAACTTTGGCCCCCCCTAGAATTTTTCTGAAATGACACCCATGGCCCTGAGGCCCTAAACAATAAAGTAGCTATCTGCTCCAGCCTTAGACATTCCCACTTCACTCTTCCTTCCCATCCCATAGCCCCTGAGTTATTGCTTGCTTGTCTGTCTGCCTCTTAGGCCTTCTCTCTTGCTCTTTTCCAGACTTCTTCATTACAGCCCATCCCACACTCCTTCTCTGTTGGTAGCCCCACTCTAGGTCTTGCCCACCCAGACCCAGTTGCTGAAGAGTAACGGTGGTGGGCGGTGCTGCTACTCTCTTTCTCTGGGTCTCTTTTTTGTGGAATGAAGGGGAGCATATTTATAGCCCTTTCCATTTCCCAGCATTTCTTGCTGTAGCCTGCAGTTCCTATTAATCCATCCAGGAATTACAACCCCTCAGAGTGCTTTAATCCTGGGCCAAGACAGTAACAGGAATGTTGGGCCTGGGGACTGCCTTTAGCCAGCATGCGCTTTTACAAAGGCCAACTTAAACAACACTGCATTCTGTGCAGCACTTTTTCTAAAAAACTAATCCCACTATAGCCAGCTATATACACTGCAAGTACGTAGTTCTGCTCTGATTAGCTACTGGCAGTTTCCATGATTTGCATACTGTGGGCTACATTATCAGCTAGTGTAAACAGGCCTACAGCCATTGACTTCTCTGAAGTCTATGACTATTTACAGCTGCTGAGAATCTGTCCTTGTATATTTTATTTTGTATTCACAATTTGGAGCAGGCCAGCCCGTTTCCATGAATCATGAACACAGAACTGCTGACCCTGGTTCAGAAGCGCCTTTTAGCAAGGCACCTTTCTTGATTTTAGTGTAATAACTTAGGGCCAAAATCTGTAATTCATAGGTATGTCATGCCTCAACCTCAAAAGGGACATGTCAATGTGTATCCAATGGCAGAAACTGGCCCTCTAATGGGATATCCAAATTATGAGCATCCCATATGATACCTTTTTTATTCACTTACAATGTAATTAAACAGGGAAATAACAATCATGCAAACCAATAACACAGGAGTCCAAAGGCCAATAAACCAAAAATATACGGTTGTGGTTTTTTTAATTCAGTGCTTCATGCCAACTCAATATACTCAGGAATTGGTAACTTGCTTAAAAACTTCAAAACAAATGTGATGAGTTTCAGGAATTTGCTAATTGCTACTAGACTGCACAGTTTTAGGGGGATATGTTAATGCAACGTTTTGATAAGAGAATTCTATCTGTAACAGTAAAGATAAAAAATTACTTAGCTGTGAGTAGATAATTTGGCAACTCTTATTAGAGTTGTGCAAAGAACAAAAACTGTCTTTTGTTCCAAACTATTTCTTGGTTTAAACCAAGGAGGGGAAAAATCTCAGTTAAACCTGACATTCCATTTTCACATGACCTTGCTGGGCACGGGTTTAGCAGCTTATAGTGCAAGAAGAAACTATTAAATAGTATAGAAATGTTAATGCAGCTGGCTGCTTACCTCCAAATCCAGGTCTCATTGCAAAGTCATGGTTGTCTATGCGGAGAAGCTGCTCGGCCTTTAGTGGGCGTACTTTGGTGCTGTCTAATTTCCTCGTTTTAATATCTCGTTTGCTGTGTTTTAAAAAACAATCAAGTCAGGAGCTTCATTGCTGACATTCACAGTAATGATTAAATTAGATTGAGGGGGGAGACCCAGAGTGGAAATGCACAGGGACAATTGTATTGAAGGAGAACATCAACCAGATATGAAAAGTTGGGGGTGGGACACACATGTCCCCTTCTATCCCCTCAGAGGCTGCATCTCTGGGTGTGGGAGAGCATGTAACAGAGAGATAAACACTTGATGAAGAAACTGATACATTAGTTTTCACCTAGCTACCTTCTAATCCTGTTTGGAAATAACATAATATGTTTGTAGCTTTCATGCGAGCCACACTAAGTCGTATGTATTACTGGGGGAGTGGCGATGACCTCATGTAGCGGTTGCTCAACACTCTTCATGAGAGCATTTCTATTGTTTTAAAGGAGCTCTGATGTCTCAATGGTTTGCAGCAGGACTCTAAAATTTGACAGTGAGACAATCCTGGGGTCAGGGAGGTGCCTTTTGGTGTCCCCCTTAAACAAGTCATTCAGATTTGGCCAAGTTAGAAACTGAAAAGGAATCACCAGTTCTAATTTGTATTTTGATTACTACAGCTCATTGCTAGATTTACTGCCAAAACCAACCAACACTCCATTAGCACTGTGCCTGGCACCATCTCAGCATGCCCTACACCACTGAACCTCCAAAGGAACACAGACAACACAGATGATCCTTTTTCTGCTGTTGCTGGAACCAGGACACCATACATGCTAGACTCATATCGAGAGACTGGTGTTAAAATTATGTTCCCTTCACAACACTTTTTATTAAGCAAAGGCTCAGACCACACAAAAAAATTACACAAGCTGGGAACAGAACCTAGGTCTTTAATGTGGCAGACTCATGTCTCACCCACACTGTCTCTCGGAAAGAATGTATTGAATTTTAGCTTGGCTATGCGGTGTGTGAAGCGTGACTACCCCTGCATATGTTTCCACTGTTTCAGTGCGTTGCGTGTCCTCCACCAGTGGCTGGCTTACCGAGACTGTTCCCAGCTATTGTAATTACTCTTTTAGTTGGTGTGGTAGAGGTCTCTGCTGAAAGTTCAGGGTTCAACCCCCTTTTTTTTGATGGGGAGGCAGGGAAACAATGTTAGTGGCACATAATAGAATTGGTTTTCCTCTTTTCCCTTTTTAAAGAAAACCCAGGAAATTACAGGATAAAAATATCAATGTTAAAAGAATGTTAAAAAGCTTGTTCAGTTATTATTTATTATATTTATCACCATACCCATGAGGAGCCCTCATCATAGACCAGGACTCCCTTGTGGCAGGCCCCAAAGACAGAACAATAAGAAGCCACATGCAGTTACTGTGAATCACGTGCTTCAAATGTACCTTTCTGCCACTCAAAGTGGATTTTCCAATGTGTTTAGTAAAATCTGCATTCACTAATGTAAAAAGCCTAACATTTCGCCAGTCAAAATGTTTTGTTCTTTATTGTAGGGAAAGGACTAGGAGAATCATCTCTTTCTCATGTACTTTTGGTTAATGCTTTAAAATCTTCTTTGCGAGAGAACGCAGATAAATAGCTTTGGAGGGGGAATTTGGGTTACACTATTAAACCAGTGAAAGTTGTAGGTTAAGTAACATTTTCACATGGGATTCTTTATAAAAGGCCACTCATTTAACCAAGGCCATCTCTCGGCAGTGTCCCTAATAATCCTAGTGCTGGCTGAAAGGGATTTCCCCAGGAGGAAAAAGAGGTTACTGGAAAGTTATACCCTGTTGAAATGGACTGGAGATCATGCCCCCTTTAGAAATGATGCCAAAGAGAATCAAACAAAGAAAAATTAAATGTATTTGGCTCCTTTCTGCAGCTGCTAAACTCTGGGATCCTCTGTGGCTTGGAACCTGCAGGCTAGTCCCAATTCCAAACTTAACGTTGCAAGTGGTCTATAGAATATAAGCATCTGAGGCCAGATCCTCAGCTGGCGTATATCTGCTAACTCCATGGATTTCGAGGGAGCTATGCCAATTTGCACCTGGTCCTGAAATTCCTCTCCAACTCCCTTCTCTTTGTATGGAGGTCAATGTTGTGACATGCTTCTCCCTTTTATCTTGCCTACCTCACAGGAGTGTCATGTGGATTAATTAGTTAAGCTCTTTGAAACCAAAAAAAGTTGCATTAGCACCAAATATTATTGCAATCATACGGCAATAGGTCTGTACAGTATGTCAAGCAGGATTCTACTGTGGATGCACATTCCCACTGTCAGACCCCTCTCCCATTTTGTGAATTGTTATGCCAGTGGAGGATACTGGATCAACAACCAGAAATTCAAGTCTGCTATTCACAGAACAGGACAAGTAGAGGGAATCGTAGCATACACATCTCTCTCACCTCCCTACCAACATTCCTCAACTCAGATGAGCAGGGACCACCATGAGGTGTTAGACAGTAGGTCAGTCTCCATTCCCATGCAGTTCCTCACCCATTTGCACAACTAACAAAGTGCCAGTTATTTCCCATTTTGATAGCGGGATTTTTTTTTAATGGACAATGAGTCCAGTGGCGATGACTCCTAGATATTCAGTTCATTTCCAGACGGACTGCTGAACAGTCATAACTTTCAGCTCTGCTTGGCTTGGACTGGATTTGAACCTGTGACTTAAAGATGAGTCATTACTAGTTTCCTGAGCCGTGCAGCTTTTCCATGCACCTCAGTTATTAAGTTACGATTGCTTCCACTACCATGTATCTCTTATACACAAATTCAGCAGGATATTCCGTGATTCAGAAGTGGTGAAGCTGCCAGAGGAGTCCAACTATGCTGTATTTTATCAACATATGGCATGACATGAATAGGCTACGAGTCCCATGCTGTCCATTATTACACAATGCTACACATACAGAATATGGGGAAACAATCGCCTTCCCTTTCGTCCTCCCATAAATTTAACTATTTATCAAAATTTTTCCTACTTTCATGATAAGGCAGTATTTTGATGGATTGGGTTATTATTGGCAGTAGATTGAGACCTGGGATTTTTATTGATGTATTATAATGTAAACATGGGAACACGTTCAAAGGCCTCACATGTATGATATGAAATTGATCTATACAAACTGTTGCTGGGGGGGAAAGCCATTTCACCCAGAAACTTAAATGCAAAAGGCTTTATGTCACTTTTTTTTTCCTTTTAAAGCAGCCACCTCATATTTTTTAAGCCTGCCTTTTGCTGTAATAGTTAGATGCAATAATCCCAACTAAAAACTAAATAAAATATATTAAACAGCTTAAGCTTTGGGATTTGCAGTTAGACGTGGAATAATTCCATAAATAAAGCATCGTGGATAACTATATTCCAGAAGAGTAACATACTGTAATATTGTGGGGAGGGAGGGATAGCTCAGTGGTTTGAGCATTAAACCCAGGGTTGTGAGTTCAATCCTTGAGGGGGCCATTTAGGGATCAGGGCAAAAATTGGGGATTGGTCCTGCTTTGAGCAGGGGGTTGGACTAGATGACCTCCTGAGGTCCCTTCCAACCCTGATATTCTATGATTCTATGATTAAAATGAAAACCTACTTAAACTAGCCTTATTCTGTTGTTGAAAAAAGCATCTGCATACAATAGTTATTACACTGATATTTAGTGCAATAAAGATAATGCAATAATGATTGCATAAACCCAACTTTAGATATGAATTTGTTTCTGATGGTAGAAAAAACCTGAAACTCTTGAACGACTATATGTTGACAGCGATACAATAATCGCAATACTTAACTCTTATGTGGTGCTTTACATTTTCAAAGAGCTGTACAAACATTATCTAACTGATCACATATACACACCCACCCACATTATATAAGTATTTAGAATTATGATACAGAATGATCAGTGATGGAAACGTTACTGTAAAGTATAATTGCTATTTGTCTCATGGGGGCACCCAAAGGCCCAAGTCAAAACTGGGACCCCACTGTGCTAAGGGCTGTACAAACACAAAGATCAGTCAAGTAGGACTCTGAACAAAGAGAATACCTTCTTAGGTTTGGTGACAGACACAACATTTATTAGCAGAAGGGCAGCAGCGAGCCAGGGTATATAGCTTACCTGTTATACTTCTTCATGGATGAGCATTTCTGTTGATGATGATGATGAAGAAAATGATGATGATCACTTTGAGAACTGACACTGGTTAGCACAGCTGTTGGCCAGAGGCAGGTGAGGAGTAGCAGCTTTATTACCAGGACCATGTCTACCAAAACAGAAATGCAATGGATTCAACCAATCCACCTCAGTGACCTTTCACTTTTAGTGGTCCTGTTATTTAGAGACAGCATTACCATAAAGAGAATCCAGGTATAATGAGGCATCACTAAAAACAGAAGACAAAGGCATCCCAGTTTTGATTTCCTCTCTGAGCTCTCCTTTTATTCTAGCAAATTGCAAAAATTCCTTAAAATCCACACACGAGGGTACCTGCTGTCAAGCAGCTGCAATTTGCCTTTAGAAATGTAATAAATATAACCACTTATTTTGTTGATTCTCCGTTTGCGCCACTGCTTCCACTCTTTCAGGGTAGGTTCTTAGTCGAATGAGAGCTTACTGAGTGGGTGATAAAGCAAATGTAGCCCTGTGCAGACAAAAGGGTGATGTCAAACATTTAATCCCCCTTAATCCCACACAACACCATATAAAAATCTTTCATTGTCCTATAAAAATATGTGCTTAATGAGACAAGGTCACTAAACTAATCTTAGTTACTGTGTATATCATCAAAATAATATTCTACACAGATCAAAATATGTCATTAATTGAGTAAGCAGCGTTTGTCCCACATATTACTGACATTATTTGCTTTTGTGATTTGGGGTAGCAAGCACAGAGTGACCAGGTGTCCAGTTTTCAACTGGAACACCTGGTCGAAAAGGGACCCTGGTGGCTCCACTCAGCACTGCTGACCATTGCAAAATCAGGACATAGCCCTTACACAGAGAATGATTTTCTAAAATACAAGCACCTGTTCCTCTAACTGACTTCAGTGGGACCTGTGGGAGTTCAACACCTCTGAAAATCAGGCCTAGAATGTCTTTGAATCCTTCAGCCAAATTAGCTACAATTCACAGCATTGACCAATACCCTAGAAAATTAAATGTCAAATTCTGGGCTCTTCTTTTTCTTCACATTGGTGAACATTCAGTTTCTAGCTCTCGTAAAATACATTACGATTGAAACTACAGTCTGTCTGATTTCTTATTTTATTTGCCCACTGCGCTTTTTAGTATATGCTATGAACATACAAGGAGGGCTGCCTCAAATTTTCATAGTCCAATATCCAGCTGTACTCTCATCACTCCCATTTTCCCACACAAGGAGGCCCATTTATATCCAGTTGGTGATTCAGCTGAGCCTTTGCAGCATAAGGCCTCTCTTCTGCTTTCCTCTGAAGCTTATCTGGACCTCTGCTTATTCCAGAGCTATAGCAGCTGCACATTTTCATATAACCTGATATTAGGATCATAAAAAAAAAATCTTTCATCCCTTGCGTTTTGCAGCACTACGTTCACAGCTTCTAAACCAGGGACTCCCCACTTCATCATTCCACCTTTGCAAGATCAATCACTGAATTAATGTTATCCCTAAATCTGCTCATTTAGTTTGGAGACCAGTAATTCTAGAAGTAAAACATACCAGTTTTACTGCCCACAGTTAAGGAACAATCCATTTTGGATGATCTCTGGAGAAATACTGGGCCAAATTCTTCCTTGACTTACACTTCTAACAACCCCATTGACTTCAGTTGTGTAAATCAAGGCAGAATCTGACCCATTACTTTGATTACCCCTTGCTGATAACACTGCTGCACCCTCCACCACACTTGGGAGTTTCTCAAAGCTTCTCTTTGGGAGTTTCCAGAGTTGTTTTTTGTCTCCAGGGCTCATTTCTTCAAGAGTCTCTCAATGATTTTTGGAGAGGGCACAATTAATGAGGAGAAAACACCAACAAAACAAACTGTGAAAGCAGATGGGCAAGTTTGGCTTAGTTCTGACGTTGGATCTATGGAGAAAAACCCTCTCAGCCATTTGGCCCTGTGCATTTCCCTGACCGTGATTTTGGGGATAAAATGAGCGGACTGAGTAACAGATAAAAGGGTGAGTGGGATGGAAGGAAATTGCAAGCTCTTTCTACGGCGGTGTCTCGATTGACAGTTTATACCCCTCTCTTTATTTCCAAAATATTAAGGCCCCAGTAAATGACTTTAACGGGAGAGCTTTAGAAACAAGATGCATTGTGGGAATAAATTCTAAAGAGGAGAGAGATGCTACAGGTGGTCAAGGGCGCACAAAGGCAACCATAATTCTGTGCTAACATTGCACCATCTGGATAGGCTTTCTACTGTCCCTTGTAACACATTGTACTTTTAAACCTTCTTCCAACAATCCCCTATTTGCAGATTTATTTCATAACACCTGACAAATTAAATTTAACACAAATTAAATGCTCAGGAGACAAGGCACAGTTTCTAATCTTGGCTCCTCACATTGACGGTGCCATTTAGGGACGTCTACACAGCAAATGGCAGCGAGTCTCAGAGCCCGGGTCTACAGACTCAGGCTTGCCGGGCTCGCATTACGGCACGAGAAATAGCTGTGTAGACGTTTGGGCTCAGGCTCAAGACGGGAAGGGGAGCGTCACAGCCTGATTTCCAGCCCCAGCTGTTGTTTCAGCCCCTGTTGTGTAGACATGCCCAAAACAGCCCACACCAGGGCCGGCCCAAAACATTTTGGCACCTGAGGCAAGGAGCTCAAATGATGCCCCCATGTCCCCTCGCTTGGGCCAAAACTTTGAAAGGTCTCAATTCTGCCTTCTTCCTGTTCTACTCCTCTTATGGTACTGCTCTGCTACCTACCACAATAAAGGAGAACTAACAACTTAAAATGCCTTGTTCAAAAATTTTAAGTAACACTTAACTTTCAAATGCCTGAACACCAAATGTAACTTTTCTTGTCTGCATAGTAACACTAGCATTTTTATCTGTTTGAATAATCAAAGTGGTGCTTTCCGTGCCTTCTTGGTTGCAAAGGTTTGAACTGCTTCCTGCTGAAGATCCACAGTCTAGGCCAGCTCATGCTCTGTTGAGATGATTGCAAGGCTGACCAGCCTCTCCAGTGTCATGGTGGAGCATAGATGTGTTTTTATTAACTTCAGCTTGGAGAAACTGCGTTCTCCACTGGCAGCTGTTACCGGAAGTGTTAGAAGTATGTGCAGAGCAACAAAAGCATTTGGAAAGAGGGTGGTCATCTTATTTGTGCACATATATTCCAGAACAGCCTTTGTAGTTGATCCTGCTGAAATGCATCTTGAAAGAGCTTTCAGTTCATCCCCTAAATCACTCGCATCAATATCGCACATGTCATGTGTCAACACGGTCTCTAGTGCCCTGCATTGCTGGTGTCGGTCTTCTTCAGGTACAGTGAGGAGTTTTGGAATATCATACAACATCCCAAATATACTTCTGTGCTCCCTGAGCTGCATGAAACGTTCAACTGACGGTATTGCACAATCTAGCACCTGGTTAAAGAATTCAACTTTGAATTGTTGTTTGGGGTCTCTTATGGGATTATCCCGTGCCTCGTAATCAAAATGCCTTCTTCTTTGGTGACTCCTGTATTCTTGAATGGGTGGGAAAATAGCTTCAGTGTGAAGTTCCGCTGCCAACTTCTGTGCACTCTTCAGAATGCTTTGAAATCCCTCATCTGACCGGTCAGACTGCAGGTATGACTTTGCTTTGTCCAGTTGTTCCATTGCTCCGGATATATCAAGGTCAACACCTTGGAGTCTCTTGCTTACAACATTTATTTCAAACAATATGTCATGCCACAACACTAAGCCACACAGAAATTTGAAGTGATGTATGTTTCTGGTGATTCCATTGCCCTCTGCCACTGTTCTCCCACGAACAGTTCCTGTTATAGGATTATCCTCCATAATGGCAACTATGGCATCATCTATCTTCCCAATTTGGTGTTTGAGAGGCTTTATCGCCTCCACTCGACTTTCCCATCATGTGGCACTCAGTGGTTTCAGTGTCAGAGAGGATGTTCCCAGATGTTGTTTCAGAATTTGCCATTGATGAGTTGATGCAGAGAAAAATACATAAATGCTTTGAATTACATTTAAAAATTCAGCAGCCTCACTAGAAGCTGATGCTGCATCACTGACTACCAAGTTCAATGAATGAGAACTGCCTGGGACAAAAAAAGCTCGATGGTTTAACTCTCGGATCCATGTCTGCACTCCTCTGTTCTTTCCTCTCATGTTGGCACCATTATCGTAGCCCCGACCTCTCATGTCAGCGATCACAATTCTCATACCGTCCAGCTTTTTAAGAAGCATATTTGTCATACCAGCTCCTGTAGTATCATCAACGTCAATAAATTCTAGAAAATGCTCTCTGACAGTCACCATTGAAGGGACATTTTCACTAAGTTCTGTTGTCGTTACAAAAGGCACCATTAAAGTCATTTGTTCCGTATGGCTGAAGTCAGGTGTGCAGTCCAGAATAATAGAGTAATATCTTGCTGACTTCAGATCTGCCACAATCTTCTGTTTGACTTTTGTTGCCAGTAACTGATCTCATTTTGAATTCTTTTTCCAAGGTAGTGGTGTGTGTACATTTCTTGGGTGGTGACTCTTCTTAGATGCTCCTGGAGTACAGCATCAAACTCAGCCATCAGCTCCACAATTTTAAGGAAGTTTCGATTGTTTGGCACATACAGCTGATCTGAAGTGCCACACAGTGCTAGGTTTTGGGTAGCAAGCATTCTCACAATGGCAATGAGCCTTTTCAGAACATTTTGCCAGTAAAGAGACTCTGATGCAATCTTCTCTTGATGCGGATCATCTAGGGTGGCCTTTAACCTTACTCACATCTCAAGCTCTTTCCACCTATAGACTGCTCTCTGGTGATTTGCTGCCTTCTCATGGCATGCCAGATTTCTAGCCAGATTTTTCCAGCCCTTTGTTCCTGTAGAACCCAATGTGGCTGGAACATTAGACTGGAAGAGTTTGCAACAAAAACAGTATGCAGCATTCTGGGGTTTTGAGTACATAAGTCTTGGCCTCTCCACTTTGTCACCACTGGGGATTTCACGCCAGTAATGTGTTGGATGGAAACTTCTATTTTCATTGTCTTTGGGGAACATGAAGTTTTTCACTTGCTGTGGCCCATGCAGTAAAAGGAAGTCCCTCAGG